TTAGTGTCTGTTTGAGAGAGGTATAGGATCAGTCATAAAACTAACCTGTGACTCAATAACCCCCAGGGAGGTATTTTAACCTCCTACACCAGAACCTCAGGGTCCCAGCAAGTTAGATAGTCTGTGAAATATAAGACCTACTTTGGCCATCACTAAGGCATACTCTGATCACGGGTACAGACCATGGCAACAAACAATTATAAAAAGGATCAAGCTTAGAAACCACCATCAGCAGTAGAGAAATAGGAAAATAGGAAATTGCAGGGGGCAGGGAGTTGTTTCAGCTTTCACCTAAACTGACATGGGAAATAAAGATGTAAAGAGAAAAAAGGACACTCTTCAGATATCAGGCTTCATAGCTGAGGTGGAAGGGAGTGTAGAGTCCACTACTATTCAGACCCTTCATGTAATTGGGTTCCTGCAGTCCCATCCGCTTGCCTTGGACGATGACACTGGTTGCTCTGAAGGGAGCCTGGCTGTTTTCCACCTCATTGAACAGTTTCTATACTGTTTCCCCATCTCGCCAGCCATGGCCACCACTTCTGTCCTGCCCTCATTTCCCACAGTTCCTTATTCTGTTCAACTTTCTTACACTTCCAGACCCACAACTCCAAATCCAGAGTGATGTTTCCTTAGTCTTCTTATGGGATGGGAGAAGACTAAAGTAAGGGGCCATAATTCCCAAAATGTCTAACTGTCATTCACAATATTTTGTGCCTCTGAAGCCCCAGTCCTGGCTTCACCTGTGGAGTGTCATACAGCACAGTAATAATTCCATTATATTCATGTATCTCTCCAAGTTTTGCTATTTTTCTGTTTGATGTGTATCTACTTTGTTTTCAATTCTTTGCTGCCACGAAAAAAAAGAAAAAGGATTGCTACCCACCAATATTTTAGTGAATGTAGGACCTTCCTCTTTGTCATTGACCACCTAGGGGATGTGCCTAGCAGTCAGGACTCTGGGGTAAAGAGTATTAACATTCTGTTTACTTCCATCATATAATTCCAAATTACAAAGCTGGTATACTCTACTTCCTGACCATAGTTCCAGAAGTTCCCTTTTTTTAGTTGTAAGTTTAGACAGCTTGAAATGATTGTTATAGGAAAGATCATGTCTTGAAATATCTGATGAAAATATACAAAAGCCTGAGATTACAAAGCAAATCGATTTGGAGTCAATTATTGATTTCAAAAAGTTTCTGCACGAGAGTTCCTTTACAAAGAAAACACCCTTGGCTTCTAAAATATAACTTGATTGACATAAATTCTCTTCACACATACCCGTAGAGAAGCCCAACTCTTCCATGAAGTTACTCCTGCACACAGTTCATCTCATCACTAAAAACATGAGTCAGAAAGTTAGCACTGTCTGACGGAGAAGGCAGGTGGCTGTGGCTATACAGACAAGGGAGAGTCTCGTTCAATTGTCTCGGGACCTCTAGCTTTGACCAGCTGCTGTTTCCTACACCTGACCTAGCCTGTTTCTCCCAGTTGTTTGTGCCCTTCCCGTTCCTTAGGAATGATTTTGTATTTGCTTTGTATGTGCTTTGTATTTAATTATCACCTTACTATAATATGGCTTCCCAATTTAGTGAAAGTCCCTTGAGAAGAGGGACTGTTTCATTTTGGTCTCAATAAACATATGAATAAACATCTAAGGCAGCTGATGGTGTAGAATGCTAGAGCAGGAGATGGAAAGACTTGGTTTCAAATCTAGCCCCAGACATTTCCTAGCTGTGTGACCCTGGGCAAGTCACATCTGTCTCTCTCAGTTTTCTCCCCCATTAAACAGCATCTACCTGCCAGAGTTGTTGCGAGGATCAAATGGGATATTTGTAAAGAGTTTAGAACAGTTCCTAGAACAGTAGGCACTTAATAAGTGCTTTCTTTCTTTCTGTCTTTCTTTCCCTCCTTCTGTTTGTTGAATAAATAAAAATGTGAATATGTGAATGAATGAACATATTGCCATGCTACATCTCTCCCCAGCCTCAAATCAGCCACCTAATTGTAGGAGGGACTAGTGAAGAGTGAAATTAGTTGATGTTTCCATCTGCAGTCCTAGTTGGTTGAGGATAAGAAGAACTCAAGATAATAGACTCTTTAAGAAGCACAGTTCATTTACAAACAAGAATTCCCACACTAGTACCCCTATACTAGGTAACTATATATACTAGATATTCTATATCTACTCTATTCTATATTATATATATATATATACTATATATTGTCCTATAGTATTATATTATACCACATATGATGTATTATATATATTCCATGTATACTAGATACTCAATATCTATTCTATATCTACTGTATATATTCCATATATATTAGATATTCTATATCTATTCTAGATATTCTATTTATACTAGATATTCTATACCCACTCTATTCTATATCTACTCTATATATTCCATATAACTAGATATTCTATATCTATTCTAGATATTCTGTATATATTAAATATTCTATATATAGTATATATTCCATACTAGATATTCTATATTTACTGTATATATTCTATTTATACTAGATATTCAATATCTACTCTACGTATATATATATATATATATATATATACACTCCATATATTTCATATGTGCTAGATATCTAGACCTACTCTATTATAAATATACTAGATATTCTAGATCTACTCTATATATTCCATATACACTAGACATTCTAGACCTACTTTATTCTACATCTACTCTATATATTCTATACATGCTAGGTAGTCTAGATCTACTCTATTCTATGCATCCTATATATTCTCGATGCTACAGAACTGAGCAGAGATGAATTCCATTCAACCTAAAGTTCTGAGTGATTAAATTCAGCAGATTGGAATTATTCCAAGGCAAATTTTGGTCTGGACCATAGAAATTGATGGATCACACTTTTGAAGTGCCTCTTTAACTATAAACAGTATACACATGCAGAAAGCATCGGTCTATATATGCAGAAAATAGTGCTAAGAAATTAACTCTCCTTTCATATCGGTCTTTCCCCTATTGTACAAATGTAGCTATTGATATCACCTATGACCTGTCACTTAATTGTATTCTATGGAAACTAAATTTAAGAATGGTGAGGATGGCAGTTTTAATGTTTAAATCGGGTGTACCTTCATTCTCCTGTTTTTGTTCTTTAGGTATTTTCTTGTTCTCTATTTTCTTCTATGTCTTTTGGCTTCCCTCCTTTTCTTCCTACTTAACACTCATTTGGGGGAATCACTCTTTTCTGGTCTCTTGAAGGGCAGAGAAGAGATAGGGTTGAAGACCTTTAGGCAGGGGAAATCCTATCCACTGGGAAGGGACATACCAAGTGCAGAACAAGGGACTTCCGTCCTGTGCCTGCCAAGGTAATACAGTAAGGGAACCAGCTGTGTCTAGTCTGTACTTGCTTTTCACTTGCTCTGCTTGCTAAATTCCTAGTCACCCTAATTTCAATGATCTTTGGTACCCCTGAAGGCAAGCAGCACACCTGAATTGTAAAGCTGCAGATGTGTTGAGTTCAAAGTTTTATTTTCAACTTTTAAAGCCCTCAATAAATTAGGACAAAGGTAGTTGGAATACAGCCTCTTGCCCGATGCTCCTCCGGGACTGTTAAGATTGGCTAGGCAATCTGCTCTTGGAAACCAGGTGTAACAAGACCTGGGTGGAGGGGCCAGGGTGTTGTTTGGGGAACTTTCTCCTTCTAGGTGACATATGCCAGAGTCTCTCAGGAGCTGTCTTTAAGATTTGCCACAAAACTTGCCTGGTTAAGAATCAGTGCTTTTCATACTTACCCACATCCTGACAAAGAGGGCTATTGGGCTCAGAACGAGATACACATTTTTTAATATGACCAATGTGTGAATTTCTTTTGCTTAACTGTGTATCTATTAAAAGGGTTTTGTTTTCCTTTTTCTTTTGTGGGGGAGGAACATAAGAGAAGAAGAGGGAGAATAGGAAGAGGGTTGCCAAAAAAGAAAAAAGTCATTGAAATTTTTTTCAGCGCATAAAAGAATATATAAGGAAAATGAAAAGGAAACACAGACAAGCAGGAGAGCTTTGAAAGTTACATGTTGCATCCAGAAAAAGAACTATGGAGTCTGAAAGCAGATCAAAGCATACTATTTGCTCTCTCTCTCTCTCTTTTTTTTTTTGTCTCTTCTTTCTCATGGTTTCTTCCATTGGTTTTAATTCTTTTTTACAACATGACTAATATGAAAATGTTTTCAATATAAATGTACATGTATAGACTATATCAGATTGCATGCAGACTTGGGGAGGGCTGAGAGGAGGGAGGAGAAAATTTAAAACTCAAAATCTTATGAAAGTGAATGTTGAAAATTGAAAATTAATTAATTAATTTCAAAAAATAATTTGGAACTCAAAAAAAAAAGTTACACGTTGAATTTACCATACTTGAAAAACAATCTGTATGTGATAGTCACAGTTTCATACACATATACAAAAAATCCTCTTTTTCTATTCTACTTGTATCTAGAAATGCTCATTTTATTGTTGTTTAAGTTCAGAATTAAATAAAACTGGGGCACAGGGAGAGAGAATTTGAATTTTTTTGTTGTTGTTCTAAGAGTCACCAAGCACACCACCATCCCTTATTTACTATCTAAACAGATAAATGAGAAGGAATGGCTCAGTGGCAGTCCAAGGTATAAAAGGCTTACTGATTACCTCTATACCTTTCCTATTTTGAAGTCTGTCTATTTCTGTTCAGAGAAATAATGTGTCAACTCTTCAAACATTTGAGAGCGAGATCTTCTACTAGAAGGAAAGAAAGATACAAGCCTTTATTAAATGTTAACTATATGCCAGGTACTATGGTAAGTGCCAGGGATCCAAACACAATCAGTAAAAGAGTAGCCCCCTGCCCACAAGGAGCTTACATACTAATGGAAGAAGACAATACACAAAAAAGAGCGCTCCCTGGGACAGAAATGAAGGCTGGCCTACCCCCAACCACCTAAATATTGGCTCCTAGAAATAACTTACCCTTGGAAGAAGGAAGCAGGGCCTTACAGAGGGAAATTCCAGGTTGAGAAGGCCAATGGGGGTAGTTGGACATTCCAGGGCAAGAAGGCGTTCCAAGAGATCTGGAATTAAACAACCAAGAAAATACTCAAGACCTGAAGGATGGTTGCCATATAAAAGAAATAGTTCCCTGACCATATAGAATGGAGAAAAAAAAGAAAAAGAATTTCAGTGTCCCTATTCTAAACCCCTAATATATTTTCATAAGCTCTCCTTATCCCATCTGGAGGGATGTAGCCATTATGAAAAAATTTTGCACCCAGGAGGATGTTTAGTTGGGGAGGGAGGCAGGAGGGAGCAACAAGATTCCTTGAACAGAGGACAAACCAATGCCTAGAGAAGGCACAGACCATCTACCAGGAAATCTAGCCCACACCCTAAAGGTGTTGGAGGTGAGGAAGAGAAAGCAAGCCTGAAGAAACTGATACTGCCATTTTATTGCTCTGTACTGCATTTGCCACGCTATAAAAGTCTAGGTTACGGGTTCTGTCACATAAAGACTATGACAGTTACAGGCAAAGCAAAGTAGTCTCTTTGAAAGGAAGACAGTAAAATAATGTTACTTTCCATAATTTGTGCTGCAGCCTTTCTGTGGTTCAATATGTTTTGGAATGTACCATTAGTTTAGCTAACAAGGTATTTCATTTGATGAATTCCAACTATTATTTAAAGTAAGATGAACCTTCTAGAATAAGACTCCAACTTTACTTTTCAATATCTTCTACTTCTCACCAAATCATAACATTAATAAACATAACTCATTTATAGAGAACTTCAAGTATATAGTGTGTGTTCCTTACAGAAATCCTGTGAGGCAGATAACTTGAAATATATTGATATGCAGATTATCTATCACAGGGGTATCAGACTTGGGACCTGCAGCCACCCATCAAATTCCCCAGTATTACTGAAACAAATTGAAATGTAATTAAGAAATGCTTAACAAAATAAATAAAAATGCAATTCAATAAAAAAGAAATTGGCACTGGGATACCAACAAACTAAGGCTGCACTGTGTAGCATCCCAGATTATTGGACTTAGAGGCAAGATTTAAGAATGATGCTCAAGGAGGATTTCAGAAAAACCTGAAATGATGCTGAGTGAAGTGAGCAGGACCAGGAAAATGTTGTACACAGCAACAGCAACATTGTGCAATGATCAACTATGATAAACTTGGCTCCTCTCAGCAATGCAACAATCTAAGAAAATTCCAAAAGACTCATGATGGAAAATACTATCCACATCCAGAGAAAGAACCATGGAGTCTGAATGAAGATGAAAGTATAGTATTTTCACTTTTTTGGTTGTTTTTTTTTCTCTCGTGGTTTTTCCCTTTTGTTCTGATTCTTCTTTCACAATATGACTGATGTGGAAATAGGTTTAACATGATTGCACATGTATAACCTATATCAGATTGCCTGCTGTCTTGGGAAGAGAAGGGAGGGAGAAAAATTTGGTACTCAAAATCTTACAAAATTGAATATTAAAAACTGTCTTTACATGTAATTAGGGAAAAATAAAATACCATTAACTACAAAAAAAAATTTTTTTTAAAAAGAATGATGCTCAACATTGTTCCCCTACAATGTTGGTACCTTGGAACAAAGCCCTGATCACTTTGTATTAGTTTTGGTTCTGCTAGGGTCTTCATCACACATATACATACACCAGATCTCAAGTGGTTCCACAAGGAAAACATTTATATCAATTATAAGTAAATGGAGTCTGGAATATGCTGCATACAATGGACTTTGTGGAGTTTTTTTTAAAATTCTTACCATTTAAATGTGGATGAGACTTAGAAATTTAAAAACTGAAAAGGAAAGCAAGCAACCAGTTCCCCAAAACAAAGTATAGTTCTCTTTCCCTTAACTTCTTCCTTTGCAAGGTGACCTATATCTCCTGGAAATGAGGCTTGAAGAATAAAGAATCCCAAATTGATAACGACTCCACACTGTCAGCTCCATGGGATATAAAACAAAATAGGAAATTACCCCACTGCTAACTGTCAGTAGTGTTCATAGCAACTCTTGTCTACATACATATCCCTGCTACTTACTGGCAGGTGTTCAATCTAGATGAACAAAAAGGATTCCAATCTACTTTGTCCCAATAGAGCAGTTATTTCTATGACACTTATCTCTGTAGTCCCCAAAGCACTTTATAAAACAAACTAGATGTCTGTTATTGTGGGAAATCTACAGACTACCAAGTTCCTGAAACAAGAAAAACCTTTGGCTGAAATCACTTATCCTTTGCTGAACAGAAACTCCCGAGAAACATAATGACTATGTCCAGATGGATAAATAGATTCATGGATAGCCTGAAAAGAAGATGAAAGCAAGAATAATCCATTCTTCTATTTTGTTTCCCCTCCTTTGTTATGTCATAAAACAGTAACTCAGAAAACCAATGATACTCAAGGCGGCAGAGTCCACCATCTCAGAAGCTAAGATCAATATACGAACATAAAAAAATGAAATAAAATCATAAGGTTCATCATACATTGCTACATCATTCAGCTAATGACCGAAAGGACTATTCATTCACAGTGTAAGTGGTGGGGAGAGTGGGGATGGAACTAATCTGTTAGAATCATTCCCTTCCTCAAACTTCTTTTCAGCAAAGATATAAATTATGCCAAATATCTATCAGTTTTATGACAAGACCATCAAACTTGTTTCATTTTTTAAAAAAACCTCCCTTCACTTACAACTGTCTAAACAGGATTTTCCCATTTAGCACCCTATCAATCCAGAATTATGATTATTCAGTGACTGAGGGGATCCCTTGTATTAAATATTAACATTTGTATAGTTATTAAAGTATTTGATGATTTGTCCAGGGATACTATAAAATTAAATGTAAGATGTCATTTAGAGTAATTCAGAGGGCTTTAATAAAAAATTATTTTCTTGACTTTGATGGTATGCTGGTACATTATGGCATGACTTAAGGGATGCTTTGTATGTTATATGGTATAATATTATAACATATGTAAGTAGAATATCAGACTATTTTGAGAGAAAGACACAAGTGATTTTTTTTAGGTCTTTTAATTTTATGAAATGGTAGAAATCATTGAATCATAAAAATGTAAATATAGGAAAGAAGCTATTTAAGATAGTAAAAATTTCCTTATAACTGTGTATCTAAGTACTTGTGTGTGTGTGTGTGTGTGTGTGTGTGTGTGTGTGCACGCGCGCATTTGAGTCAGTCGACAAGCATTTATGAAATATTTACTTTGTGCTAAGCATTGGCTTGGGAAAAAAAGCAAAAACTGTCCCTGGCCTCAGCAAGTTCACATTCTATTCCAAGAAGCAACATGTAAATAACGATAAACACACAAAATTAAACAGAATAGGTAAAAGGAATTTTTAGAAGAAATCTTAGAAAGAAAAGCATTACCAGTTGGTAGGAGAGAACAGAAAAGACCTCCTTCAGCAGAGTACTTTGAGCTAAGTATTGAAAAAGGTTAGGGAAGTTAGTAAAGGTAGGTGAAGAGGAAGAACATTTAAGGCATGAAGGACAGCCAGTGAAAGACATGGAATCTGGAGGAGTGTCATTTGAAAGGAAGTTACAGGAATTTTACTGGATTTTTCTGAGTAGAGGAATGGTATGAACAGACTTCCACTTTAGAAAAAAAAATCACTTTGGCAACTGTGTGGAGAACGGATTGGATTGGAGAGAGATCTGATACAGGAAGATCAATTAAGAGACAATACTGCAATAGTCCAGACAATAAATGATGGTGTTCTGAACTCTGGTGGGATGTATATGAAAGATATTGTGAAGGTAAAAATGATGAGGCTTGGCAATGGATGGGATCTATAGGGTTAATGTGAATGAGGAGTTGAGGACAACACAAAAAAATTGCAGCCTGGGTGACTGGGAAAATAGTCATGCTCTTGACAGTAGTAGGAAATTTCAGAAGAAGAAAGGATTTTAGGGAGAAGTTCTTGAAATAGGTCTGATACGTCTATGAGATACCCAGTTCAAGATGTCCAATTGGCAGCTGTTGATGTGAGACTGGACATCAGGGGAGAGGTAGGCCTGGATAAATAGATTGAAGAATCATCAGCATAGAGATGATAACTGAATCCATGGGAGTCAAGACATTACCAAGCAAGATGATTTAGAAAGAGAAGAGAAGAAGGGCCTTTGACAGTCCCTTGGGAGACACGAAAGGCTAGTGGGAGAGCCCTGGATAAATATCCATCAGAGGAAACTGAGGAGTGATCAGACTAGTAAGACAAGAACCAAGAGAAAGCAATATCACCAAAATTTAGAGTAAAGGGTATTCAGGAGGTTCTGAACTTTGTCATACGCTACAGAGAGTTCAAGAAGAATGAGAATTGAGAAAAGGCAATTAGATTTGGCAATTAAGAAAGCATAAGTAAATTCAGAGAAAATAGTTTCAGTTGAATGATGAACCAGATTCCAAAGATTTTAGAAGATTGTGAGAGGAGAGGAAGGAGAAACACCTAGTGTAGACAGCTTTCTTAAGGAGTTTAACTGAGAAATGGAGGAGAGATATAGGATGACAGCTAGCAGGAACAGTAGAATCAAATGAGAGTTTTTAAAGGAGAGGGAAGACATGACTATGTTTATAGGCAGCAAGGAAGGAGCCAGTAGGTAGAAAGATATTAAAGTGAAGCTCTCAATTTCTGTTGGACTGTGAGAGTTGGACTGTAAGGAAAACCGATAGCACCTGAATCCACGCTTTCAAATTGTGGTCTGGAGAAGACTTTTGTGAGTTCCTTGGACAGCAAGTAGATCAAATCAGTCAATACTTAAAGAAATTAATTCAGATTATTCACTGGAAGGTAAAATACTGAAGCTAAACCTTAAATACTCTGGCCACATAATGAAAAGATAGGACTCATTTTTGAAAAGACCCTGATGAAAATTTTGAAAATTAATGTTAAAAATTGTTTTTACACGTAACTAGGGGAGAACAAAATATTAAATAAATGTATTTTTAAAGAAAAGGAAATACATTTTTGAAGAAAAAGAAAAGGCTCTGAAGTTGGGAAGGATTGAAAGTAAAAGGAAAAGGAG